ACGCGGCAACTGACTCCACTGCGGCCCCAGCGACAGAGTCGACCACGGCCCCACCAGCCAACCCGTTGTCGGAACAGGCACTGGCACCAGCCAACCAGACAACAGATCCTGCACAGGTACCAGCTCCGGTGAGTTCCGGGCCAAAAGGCCTCGACTACGTGCGCACCATACAGGAGCTCCTAGCTGACATTGGCAGGCTCGAACTCGATAGAGGAAGCGAGGGCGACGCGCGGCTCTCGGATATCGAGGACGAGCCCCAGTTATGAAGACACCAGCAGTAGAGGTAGCCCAGGTCAATCTGCATCACGCGGTGGCCGCCTCGGCGGTCATTGCGAACAGGTTTGCCACGGAAGACCTGGGCATACTGCTAATACAGGAACCATGGACCTACAGAGGCCAGGTGAGGGGCCTTAACCACAACAACAATAAGGCAATTTGGGACCTTTCCTGCGAGAGGCCCAGAGCGTGTGTAGTGCTGAAAAATGATATTAACTATTTCTGCATTACAGAGTTTCTAACACAGGACCTGGTAGCAGTCCAGACTACCTTGAAGGTTGATGGCAGGGAGTTGGAGGTGGTCTTGGGTGCAGCCTACTTTCAGGGGGACAACGCCAACGTGCCGCCCCTTGAGGTACAGCAACTTCTGGAATCCTGCCGCAGGAAAATACTTCCTGTCATTCTAGGCTGCGATGCAAACGCCCACAATATGGAGTGGGGCAGCTCGGACACTAACCGTAGGGGTGAGTGCCTTTTAGAATATTACATAAGTGCAGACCTGAGCATTCACAATGTCGGCAATGAACCAACGTTCATTACTAGGATCAGAGAGGAAGTTCTTGACATCACGATCAGCAACAGACTGGCCAGTCCTCTGATCGGCCAGTGGAAAGTCTCATCTGAGCCTTCACTGTCGGACCAAAGGACTGTCTGGTTTGCACTGGGAGCTGCTTGTCAGACAGGTTACCATAAGAGAAACCCCAGAAAAACTGACCGGGCCAAATATGAAGAGGTACTTAGACTGCACCTACCAAGAATAGAGGTACAGAGAAGGTAGATTGTATGGCGCTAGAGGACAGGGTTAATAAGCTGAACGGCAAAATCTTAGATGCCTTTACGTCCAGCTGTCCCGTGTCAAAGCCTAAAGGGAAGGCTCAGCCTCCCTGGTGGTCACGGGAACTCTCGGTTCTTAGGAAAGAGGTTCGCAGACTGTTTAACAGGGCAAAGCGCACCGGGAACTGGGAGGAATACTCAGTCAGTCTGACAAAGTACAATAAGGAGATCAGGAAGGCCAAGCGTAGCAGCTTCAAGACCTTTTGTGAAAACATTGCATCCACTCCTGTAGCTGCTAGGCTTCATAAAGCTTTGGCAAGGGACAACACAGGCACGAGATTAGCAATAAGGCTACCTAATGGGACCTTTTCAGGAACGGAACAGGAAAGGGCACTCGCCCTGTTGTCGGCCCACTTTCCGGACGCCATTCCCACCACTAGGGAAGCTATGTTCCGTGCGTACAGGCCATCCCCACCGGACTGGAAGCTGGCTAAGAGCCTTATAAACCGGCAAACGGTGCGGTGGGCTTTGGACTCCTTCGAACGGTACAAGTCCCCTGGTGTGGATGGTATATGTCCAGTGTTGCTGAAGCAGGGTGGAGAGCTCTTACTCCCACATATTGTAGATGTTATGAGGGACAGTCTAGCGCTGGCCCACATTCCCAAGGTGTGGCAAAGGGCCAGGGTTATTTTTATCCCGAAGGTAGGTAAGAGAGATTATTCTCTTGCCAAGTCATTCAGGCCGATAAGTCTCACATCATTTATGTTGAAGGCAATGGAGAAAATTATTGACCATGAGATCAGGTTTAACACTCTGAAACAGACCCCTCTGCATTCCAACCAGCACGCGTACAGGGTGGGTAGATCCACGGACACTGCGCTGTATGCCTTAACGGAGGAAATACAAGGGGCCTTTGAGTGTGATGAGGTGGTGCTCTGTGCCTTCCTCGATATCGAGGGGGCCTTTGATAATGCCTCCCATTCGGGAGTTGATAGAGCTCTTGAGAAATATAACGTCCAGCCAACCATCCGGCGTTGGATAGCAAGGTTACTGCAGACCAGGAGAGCCGAAACTGAAGTCGGTAACAGCGTTGTTCAAATACAAACAACAAAAGGGTGCCCGCAAGGGGGAGTATTATCTCCTCTACTGTGGAGCTTAGTTGTGGACGAACTCCTACAGCTACTCACTAACGAGGGCGTTCGATGCCAAGGGTATGCGGACGACATAGTGATTATTGCTAGAGGGAAGTTCGCTAGTACTCTCTGTGACATCGTCCAAAGAGGTCGTAACCTTGCAAAAAGGTGGTGCGCAGATGTAGGCTTAAATATCAATCCCTCCAAGACAGCTATAGTCCCCTTCACCAAGAAAAGAAATCTTCAGGGGATGAGGAACCTGACACTGGACGGGGTCGCAATCAATGTCGCCACAGAGGTTAAGTATCTGGGGCTTACCCTGTGTCGAGGACATGGGTAACCTCATCGACTTCGACGACTAAATTATAT